CAAAATATATTATTTTATGTTACATCTACGTTTACATGGTGAAACTTTGCAATAATCAACTGTAATCATTGATTCGTGTTCCTTTTGTTACATCTACGTTTACATGGTGAAACTTTACAATAATCAACTGTAATAATTGATTCGTGTTCTTTATGTTACATCTACGTTTACGTGGTAAAACTTTGCAATTATCAACTGTAATCATTGATTCATGTTCCTTTTGTTACATCTACGTTTACATGGTGAAACTTTGCTATAATCAACTGTAATCATTGATTCGTGTTCCTTATGTTACATCTACGTTTACGTGGTAAAACTTTGCAATAATCAACTGTAATCATTGATTCGCGTTCCTTATGTTACATCTACGTTTACGTGGTAAAACTTTGCAATAATTAACTGTAATCATTGATTCATGTTCCTTTTGTTACATCTACGTTTACGTGGTAAAACTTTGCAATAGTTAACTATAATCATTGATTCATGTTCCTTTTGTTACATCTACGTTTACGTGGTAAAACTTTGCAATAATTAACTATAATCATTGATTCATGTTCCTTATCACACCATTTACGTATATCCAATCAAGATTACTAATAGTCACAAGTTATATAATTCAGATTTATGTAGTTTGATACAAATAATAGTGTAGTACTTACCTTACCTTTATAGACCTAATAGTTAATAACGTCACTATATATATTGCTGTGGCGATCACTAAAGGTTCATACACAATACACAGGTGATATATTTTATGCAGTTGTCTTCCAGACATAGTGGTTAGGACATCTTCTATTTCTTCTCACTTTCAGAGTGACATGTCAAAGGTTACCATAGTTACGTTTATAGCTAGTCATCGTGTATTATGGATTGGATTAACACCCAGAAGTGTGAATGTGTCAATAAAGTTTAAAAAACTCTCATTTTACATTATTGTCGATAAGAATACTTTGTTTAGTCATCTTTATCTTTAGTCAAAAACTATAATGATATTTTAATAAAACATTGTCTATTTTTCTTAACAAAAAACTTAAAAACCAACTTCAAGTTTACTTTCATATATGACAACAGGACTGTTGAACGATTCTTCGAAATCATAAACTTTTCAGTCATATTAATGAAATAACGGTTTGTGAAAGTACAGTACGTTTGAAAAATGAAGAAAAAATATACAATATAATATTACATTGAAAAACACAAATAAATGCCACAATTATATCAATATAGGATTACATCGGCATTTATTTGTGTTTTTCAATGTAATATTACATTGATATAATTGTGGCATTTACTTGTGTTTTTCTGGCATTTATTTGTGTTTTTCAATGTAATATTACATTGATATAATTGTAATGTAATATTACATTGATATAATTGGGAAAAACACAAGTAAATGCCACAATTATATCAATGTAATATTACATTGAAAAACACAAATAAATGCCACAATTATATCAATATAGGATTACATCGAAAAACACAAGTAAATGCCACAATTATATCAATGTAATATTACATTGAAAAACACAAGTAAATGCCACAATTATATCAATGT